TCTTTGAATCACTCGATGAAGTTTAAGAAGCATGTCAAGAGTTCTTTAAATCAAAGCCGAATGATTGGTACCTCGACCAAATCCGAAACTTGGCTGATCAATGGCAGAAAGTCGTAGAACACGATGACCTTATTTTGAAGAATAGTCGACATCGCTTTTCTTTGAAATTCATGCATAAATTTTGATTTCTTGAAAGTGCCCAGAACTTTCTTGCCAACCTAATAACAAACGCTTCATTTCAATGTCAGGCAATGCGCCTAGTGCTTCTTGTTGACGGTTCGACGAGATCAGGAACGAATTTTCTTTGCAGTTTTCTTCAAGAAAGTGCTTTTAAATATTGAATATCCGCATAACTTCTTTCCTCCTATTATTTTACTCATTTTTTCCAAAGTCAATCGAGTTATTGTCAAAGAGTTTGCCACATGTTTGGCAAGGTTTCAGTAGCTTTAGTCAGGAGGCTGTACTCACTCGCTTGCTATTTGAATGAAATGGGTTACCGCAAAGCGATGTTTCTTTGAACACTTCACTGCACTGATAAACCACGACCGCGCTGCATGCTTAACCATCTGCGAAAGTGCTCTGTTATGAGCGCACAAGACAAATTTTTTCAAGTCGATCATCACTGGAGATGACTGTTGAGTCTACTACGAGAGCAACACGCGCCACTTTTGATGGTTGCCTCACGGTAAAGACCCGCTGGCTCAACCTGAATCCAAGTTTCATGTACAAACAGTCAATTACTGCTGCATCTGTAAGGTATAACTCCAGAAGTTGGCCGCAGCACTGCGAGAGAAGCATCCATGATGATTAAGTGTCTTCTTTCTTCAGGATAACGCACGACCTACATTGCAAGGCCGACTCGCCACATTTAGGAGAAAGTGGGCTTGGCTGCGATGCCACATGCACCGTATAGCGCCGAAATTACTCCAATAAATTATTATCTCTTCTGCGCCCTGAAGCAGCTCATTGAAGCGAAAAATTCATAGACTACAACCATCTCTGCAAAGACCAATTCTCCGTGAAGTAACTCCACCGACTTTCTTTATCGTCAGCCTCATTTTTTTTTTTGAAACTCAGGCACCCAATTCTTGCCCATCAAATAGTTGCATACCATTGACTATTACGGTGATTATATCGTTGTTTGAGTGATTTCTTCGAATAGGAAACAACTGAGTTAACAAAAGTGTTGAAATGCTAAGAAATCTTAGGATAACTCAGTAGATTTTTATCTATAGCACAATAGTGACTGTTTGTTCTCAGCGCCTTAGTGTCCTATCTCTGCCATTTTACTGCTCTTATAAAATCTTCATTGGACTATAATGTTTAAAGACTGAATAAGGTGCTGTGCACTACTCGAGCAAAGGTCGCGCTATAGTACCTCACAAAATAACTTGCAAGACCATGCGGCATTTATTTAAGCATATGAAATCTGCTATAGAGGCACACCTGTGTATCGCCATTTGTGTTTGATTTTGAGCGTCTCGTCTGAAACAACGCATTTAGCTGAAAAGCATCTGGATCTACTAAAACAACGACTTACTCTTCTAGTGACTTTTTTGATGCTTTCATCAGATATAGTTTTATCAACACTAGTCAATTCTTTGTGATCACGCTTTGTTTCTCGCTTCTGGCGTACAGTTCTCTTCTTACCATCGTCAATTTGTTTCTAAAGAAATAAAACTTTTGTGCAAGATTCTAGCACAATGCAATAATATGACGGGAAATGCATGAATGGATAAGGAAACGAAAGAGGGCACAATGCAATAGTAGAGGCCTAATCACTACACGGGAGGCCTGAACTATCTAAAAACTGTTACGACCCCACACCTCGTCTATAATGACTCTCGGCAAGTGTCACGGTATTAACCTTGTCTAGGACAGGTCCATCAGGTTTCAATCTATTTATATAGAGCACTCTTTCAAACTATTCCAAGGTTTCAGAATGAATCGACTATACTAACATTCGAGAGGATTTATCATGAAGAAGAGCAATCCTCAGGCAGCAACCGAAAGAGCATGCAAGAAGAAATCCGAAGACTTCCGCGTAGATGGGCGTATGTGATGGCGGGTCTTGTGGTAATGATGTGACAAACAGGTAGTTTTACAATACGAACTTTTGAATGAGCTCACAACTGCCTCGCTATTCAACTTTCTTGTAAAAACGTTCTAACTCACCCGAAGCATAACCGCTAGCTCCACTTCCGGTAATAACAGAATTATGAATGCGACTACCTTGAATGAAACAAAGGTGCGATTGATGATATAAATAAGACCTATATCACTGATAAGGATAATCAGTAGACTTATCATATCTGGCTAAACTATAGTAACGTTATCCATTTATCCATTTATCTATTTCGCCATATAGATGAATAAATAAATAGGCAAAAATAAATAAATAATTAAACAAATATATATATATATATATATAAGCACATTTGGCTGCAAGCATATAATCCGTACAGCATGAAAGCTGATGTACGGCAGAGGTGGTTCTGCATTCTGGTTCCGATCGGAAATATTCTAGTGTGGGATCTTAGCCTTTTTCGGAATGTGATGCTACTTATTATATGTTAGATAAATAGCAGAGTGGCTAGTATGTAATCTATCAGGAAGAAAGATCCTGGTGTGACTCCCTTCTCCAGTGCTTCCTTGCAATCTACGCGCAAACTCCCTGGCTCGGCTATCTCCATGATTGCAAGAAGAATTGAATAGAATGATATAGTCAAGCAGCAGCCAAACATTGCTCAAATGAGTTTAGATGATGGATCCGAGGATACGAACAAGTGTACATGCTGAGATCCGTGCAATAAAAGTGTTGACGAGAGGGCCGGTAGTCAAGTGGCTGCGATGCTCGTCGCGACGCGGTGCTGATCACACAACCTATCATATTTTGGCAGTCAGTAACAAATGCTCTAAGGAAAGTCGCAGCCAGGTTATCTGCGAAATTGTAAGGAGACGTACTCAACGACTATTTCACATCAATCAAGAAGAAGACCAAAAAAACGAAGTGAAAGCTAGAAGTACCGGGATCCTTGCAATGAAAAGCGGTGAGACGGATCTTATTTGATCCGTCTCATAGCTTTCATTTACTACTATATTTCACTACTTCTAACCAAATATGTCGACGGGTATAAAAATATAATATGTCGTTATAAGTAACTCGTAATTGCTGATTAAGCCCGATATTGGAGAGTTTACAGCGACAGTAACTCTGAACAGGACGATAGCTATGACATATAAGTTGCAATTCTGTTTTTCTATATATTTTGGAATCACGTTATCCATTGTAGTGTTTTTCCCATTTCATTAAAAGTGAAAAGTGCCAGGCTGAAATGTATACCGACCAAGCCTTTACCCGCACAGTATTTCACGAGCTTTTCATGAGATTTGGACGACTGATTGAATTGTTATCAGCCGTTGACAATTTGACAATGTCGAATGTCTCACAGTCAAACTTCTTCACGAAGGTTTCGTGCAAAAAAAGGTGCCCTTTGTTAAATCAAAAACCGGTGGTAAATATGACAGCTGTCTTGTAGAGCTCGTTAAGCCAAGAAATCGTTTAAACCACCTCGGAATATATACGACGATGAATTAGCCGTCTAATACTCAGAAGTCGTTGAGTACTAAACTTTATATTTACAACCGCTCACAATATCACAGACCACAGAGTTTATCGCATAACAATAACACGACATGAAAGAGGAGTATCTTCTTATTTTTAATATGCACTAACCAAAAGGGGTCGGGTATGTTGAGGCGACCATACTTACAGGTACTTTGCAAAGATTCCTAAAATGTTAATATATAATACTTTTCGTTCCGAGTGTTTTCTTAAGATCACCCTCAAATTTCATTATACCAGATAATCATTTTTTGTGCCACTCATGTGGACTGCTATATATGGGCTGACTTATAGAGCCCGATACACGTGTTTCAACCTTGACCACCAGTCGGGCGGTACCCTCTTCGTCTTTAGCCATCCTCTCGGAGCGCTCAGTCCCCTATAGTAAGAGTGGGCGACAACGAACATTTTACACTGTAAGCCCTGTGAACTTATCACTGAGCAGACAGTGTTGTACCCTCGATTGCTCTTGGCTGGTATCGTCAATATATCATACCTTCAAGTGTACAACATTGCTTGTTCAGTGATAATTTCAGTGGATTTACAGTGAAAATGTTCGTCATTGTCTACTCTTAGTTTAGGGGACTGAGCGTCCCGAGAGGATTGGTTAGAGACGAAAAGGATATCGCCCGACTAATGAGGCCGTCAAAGTTGAAAGAAGTGTATCGGGCTCTATAAGTCAGCCTTTATCTAACAGACCTCATACGTGGCTCAAAAAATGATTAACAGGCATATTCCTGAAATAGTTGTTAATTGATTTTCTTCCTGTAGAATCGCAGATATTATGAACTTCAAATTGAATATAAAGATTATGTAGGACTAATCATTCACAGATCGCTTAGTTCTTGAAAATAATGAATCTGATCTAAACTTTTCAAATCTCAGTGGGAACTGGAGTTCAATGAACAACACCCCATCGGCGGCTCGAAATACGCAACGTTCGGCGACGGTCGATACGTGTTCATACTGGGAAACAAACAAGTAAGTGAAAACTGCGAATAAATGTTCAAAAAAGCAGAAAAAAATAAAGCCCTGTGATCAATATAGAAAGTTTCATTCAGTGTCGAGACTGTTAAAGTTGGTGAATGCCTTTCATTAGTACCAAAAGTGAGCAGCAGGCGCACCAGACAGCATTAGGCTTTGAACCCAAGCTTTTAGGTCTCTTTTGATATCCCATTTCAACCTGCATGTATATCCTAACTTCTAATTCTTTTTACTAATTAGAATCAAAATTACAATACTTTTCAGTTTAGTAGCACAGATTTCCAAAACTATCCCTGACATGATTCCAAGATTTCTTGACTTTCTACTGCTTTTTCGCATTGCTATGATGTTTAGAATATTCCTAAGATAACTGAGTGGTAAGCAGAAACTCGGCCTCAGATGGGATTAAACCCGTGTTTCATCTATACTGAAGACGTGTGCTACCGCTACACCACTGGGGCCGCCATTTACTCACCACTCATTCTTCAGTATGTCATTATCACAGCTATCAACTACCAACCATTAACTGGTGTCGTCGAGTATGCAATATCGCTCTATAAACCCAGTTAAGTTGACAGTTATTGTACTTATATAATTTAAAACTTCTTATGTTCTTACTGCTTTCTCGCAATGTTATGATGTTTCAAATAACCTTGCGAGGATTGAGTGATAAGCAAAAATTCGACCTCAGACGGTAGTTGAACTCGCGTTCCATTTATACCGGGGGCGCATGGATGAAACGCGGGTTCAACACTCTTCTGAAGTCGAGCTTTTGCCCATCCCTTACGCTGGACAAGAACTTTCAAAAAGGAAGTTCGCAATTATTCGAAAGCTTAAACCTCTGGTCAGAGCTGCAAACGGCCACTTTTTGGAAAAAATCTTTCACAGAGCTCTTTCTTTAGACTATTAGTAGTTTTTCGATAGCGTAAGATTTGAGGATTCTATCGTTGGGTCTATTTTCTGGAAAGACCATTTCTCTGCAGTTAAGTTTTTCTCTACACGTTCATGTGCTTTTTGTGGCTTTGAGCGAGGTACTAGCTAAATTGCGCAGCCCATGTGAAGCAAAATTTTATTTTAAATTTTACCTCGTTATGAAAGTGCTTCTTCAGCAAACCTGCTACGTATAACGCTATCCAGAGACCTAAGTTTTCAAATGATTACTAACACTCTTTATGAAAAGTTTGTCTATCATGAGAGAAAGATTTGGATATCTGTGCTACCAGATGGAATAGAACCAAAATCCCTACTATCGAGCCCACGGCGCGTTATCGTGCATAGAGATTACTCACTTTCTGTTGACCAATGGATGACAATGCCGACTGAGGTCATGGGCATTGTCGACCTGTTGAATGTACTTCTTTGCCATAATCATTTCACTAGGACTCAGAAGGTCATTATAAATCAGACCAGCTGTGGATCACCGAACGGTCAAGATGACTTTCTCTAGTTAGAATTTCGGCTTTGGAAATTGGTTTCAGCCTTCATAACGGGTCAACAATCGCATATCGTTTCCGGAACCATACAGAATCCATGTTCCATGGAGCGGAACAATGCGATCGACAAATGTATCGCTCTTGTTAGGAGTAGTGGAGTCGGTGATAATTCAAAACGGCTACTTTTTTGATTGAAGTTCAGTTCATTCGCATTCATTTGCCGAGCTTCTCTAGCCTTCCAATGTTCTCTGAATATTCAAAACCAGATAAGACGTTTATATTGAGTCCCTCGACAAGCTTCTAAACAGTGATGCGTGCACTTGCTTTCATTAGACCTTTCAAGCCACTTCATTTTACTGTCGCCAATCAGAGGACATCAACGTAGAACTGTTGCAAAAATACACGAGAAAAATGAAGGTACCAGTCAAATATCTAATTCCGAAAGACTTAGTGAAATCGTTTATGGCTTAAGGTGATTTTAAAATAGATCGAAAGTGTTTAGATAAATAATAGTTACTTTTTCTCTGCTGAACAATCAAAATTAACCTGGCATTACTTGTAACATCGTGCAGCTTCATTATCCATCGACTGACCCTGTCCTGCGTTAGTGATCTGCCATCATTCATCTCGCCCATCAATGATACTATTTGGGTTTCGCTTGCTACAGCAAAGCGAAGAGAACCAAGAGAACCTTGAATATTTCTAAGCACTCACGTTTATCCTTGCATACATACGAATTTGATTAGGTTTATATGAAAGCTATAACATAATGTGCCACAGCGAATAGAAAGATGCCATTGCACAAAGTCAGTTGCAACTCAAACAGAGCAATCGGACTGGAGCTTTCCAGCAGCCTGAGTGGTGTTGTAGCATACTGATCGAAGTTTCCCTACAAAATGCATTTGTCGTTGATTTGATTTTCCGAACTCTCTGTCCTTCTGGAGTCAGCAAATCACTAGCGGACTCGGTGGGTGCATCAATAAGACCTTGCATGTTACTGTATGAGCCGAATACGAACAGTATCTACGATGCTTCCAAATGGGTGACATACATAAGTAATGAGATCCGCGTCGCACGCTTTGAACTCATCCTTTATCTGGCATTCAGGAATGGTCCACACACGTTCGTGATTAGCTGTTTGAAATGTCCTAGGTGAATAAACTTCACAAAAATAACTTTGGCAAAGTTTCCCACGAATACATATCATCTAATAATTTGCTAAAAAGTCACGGTAGTTCTTTCATGAAAATTCACATTATAGACGAATCGCGATGAAAGAATACATTACACACAATTCGATCTAGAACGCTTAGACCTGTTTTTGAGTGTGAAAACACGCTACGCCATAGATGGGCTTCTGGTAAGAATTCTTATGTTCTAACTGGCAAAACATATCAATGATTTTCTAGCTTGTACAACTATAGATGGTCCAAAAGCACTAGCCTATTTTTGATGCTTTAATCTCAAGTGTAGTTGAAGACTTTTTGACTATTTACTGGCGTGAAAATTTGAGTGTAGCTGCCTAGACACTGAAGGATTTTCCGATTACGTTTCCTCCCTATTGGATCAGCCTTTCACCTAAAGTTAAGACATGAGATAACATCAGCAGCTGGCTAACTCTTTGGATAATGGAAAAAACTACAAATCGTAAAAAAATGTTTAGTAGATTTATTCCCTATAAGGAAGAGCAAAGAAACAGATCTCTAATAAAGTAATCGTTCAACATGAAAGGTGAAAAAACATGCTTGCGTACTTTTGTAATAGCCATTACGATCATACTTACAAAGCATTCGAAAGTTATGAAACGCTCATAAAGTAGATCGCAAGAAGTGGTAAATTACTTTCTTCAGGATATCGGCTTTGTCTTGGGTTTCTACGCAACATCCTCGAAGGGATTAGTGATAGTGGATTATGCAGAAGATAACGCACTTGTCAAACAGACCGGTGTCATTGTGAGTCGTTTAGTTTGCCAAGTTTCACGTCTGAATTCCACACAGTGAAGGAAGAAATGCATTCAAAACAGAAACTCAGTAGAACTTTACTTAAGAAGATTGAGTGGCACACAAAAATCGACCTCTGGAGGAAGTTAAAACTCGTGTTTCACCTATATCGGAGGCGCCCTCAAATCAATTGCATACGATCTCTTTCGCGTCACTTTGAATTTGTAATTTATGGCGATATGCGATACTTTTCGGTAACTAACACTTCTGAAGAGTTTTGAACGAAAGAGAATCATGTAAGAGACTTAGCTCTATCTTTTTATAGCTCTAAATTCTGGTTTTGTAGATATTGAATCTAACTTAATTTTGTTCAAATCGGCTCTCTATACAATGACCACAATGCGGCATCGTTTGAAATGAAAGTTAATTGCGAATCATATTATCGCTCATTGACCTACCTCGAAAAAAGTCTTTTCTATGTGAATCATCGAGTACACAACGTCGTTTTCGCTCCCAACCTCCTACTACAATTTCTCTTCGATTAGCTATCAGATGAGTATACATAGTAAAAAAGAATTGGAACCCATTAAACTCTAAATGCGCAATAAACTGTACACATGGCCTCTGATGGATTCATACTCTCAGAAAATCTTCTATAGTTTCTCTGTCAGTTATCTATTCATGCTTGGAAGTAATGAAGTTTTTCCATTACTTCTATCGAATAGAACCCTTACGCATGCGATCTTTACTGTACTTGGGCTTTGAGTATTAGAAAGTGCTAAAATGCTTACAACTTGTGGCATCTCTCATTTTCTTGCCGGGAAAATCGAGTGATGTTGATGATAAAGCTTGCCCTACGATGAGCCTACTATACGGCGATAACTTCTTCAGGTTGAAAATATGTGTTGTTTCCAGTTATCTAATGCTATTTTTGTACACTTCGCGAATCCCAAACTTAGTTTTCAGCTCGACGAAAACTCATACACCGGAGCGCATTTCATTGAACGCACTTACTGCGTGTCGACGAACGTCGCGTTCTTCTTTGTTCATTGTGTCGTCGGGCAATTTGAATGTGTTGTATTCGCACCACCGAACAACAGCAGAAACGTGAACAGTTCGTGCCTTTTCTTCAGAAATTTCATTCATGTAGAATTTGACTTTTATGTAGTGAAAAAACTCAGCGAAATACTGGATCTATTGAAGAAAGGTTTAGCTAAAATATCTAACAACAAAGCTAATTTGACATTCTATGGAACAGTTTCATTGTTTTTGCGTAATTGTCCTCATTAATCATGTCTTTCGTTTCGAGTGTTTTCCTAAGAGCACTGCTCAAATTTCAATATGCGTGATAATCACTCTTTGAGCCAAACATAAAATTTGAGCTGTGGTCTTAAGAAAACACTCGAAACGAAAGACATGATATTTTGAATATAGCAGCCAAGAGCATTCGAGCGTGCAACACTCTGTGTTCGGTGAAAATTTCACTGGACATAGAGTGTATAACGTTCGTCGCCGCTAACTCATAGTGTAGGGACTGGAGCTCCCACAGAGATTAGCAAAGACGAAAAAGGGTAAATGCCCGACTGACGAGATCGCAAGATCGAAACACGTATATCGGGCTCTATAAGTCAGCCCTCATTGATAGACCACTGACATGCGTGGCTCAGGTAGTGATTATCAGGCATGATGTCTCATTAGTATTGAAAATACACACACAATTTGCGCTCAGTAGCAAATGTCGCGCCAAGCGCTCTTCGTAGTTGTCCCAACCGTCCGCCAGCTGTAAAATGGTCGCGTAACAAATGTTGAAGAACTTTTCCACTAAGGACAGCCTGTTTGCAAAACTATATTGATCATTGCGAAATTCCCTTGTATTTGAAGACCTAAGCAAATCTCTTCTCTATCAGCTTGTAAATGGAAAAGTCAAAGCACCTTTGACACTTTTAGGGGCATTTGAAATTGATTGTTGTGTTAGGGTTGCACGCATACAGTTGATCACCCCAATCATTTTTCCTCAGTAACGTTTGTAGACAACCAATCTGTATCGTTGCAAACACCAAGCATAGACAGTGGACAAGGTATAGGCCG